TGTGTGATAGAGAGAGAGAGAGAGAGAGAGAGATTGACCAACCAATTTACCAAGTTGCAGAAACAATAATACTATCATATCAGGACAGGAAGAACATGACGACTAAGTAGTGGCGGTTAAGTTCTCATTTGTAAACTGGTGTGATCGGGTGTGCCACAATTTCAATATTTAAAACAGAATGTAAAGGAAGAAAAAAGGTTAATGTAAGGATGAGACTCTGGCTAGATGTGGACGTGCCAACCACGTGGTCATCGCGGAAGATGGTTATTCACATGTTGGGTTTCCACTAGATTTCTAATGACAACCACATATTGTTGCATCACTTAGTTGAAGTTAATGGCTCAAAACTTTGCCTCGGTACAGCAGAAAACTCGTTTGAATCACGCCTCTATCTTATAACTACAATTTCGTTGAGATTTTTTATTTTTTTTAACGAAAGTGAAACCGACTACATTAGTCAGATTTAGGTCGAAACGTTTCGCTCTTCAGAGTCCGACATACATGACATATCGGACCCTCTGGATGCAGTTGGAGTTAGCAAGAGTCAAGGAACTCCTGGATGTATCTTGATTTAGTTGGAATCCATGAGGTATAGTGTTTTAAGAACGCCAAACCTTCAACTTCGTTAGAATTTCGACCTAAATTGGACCAATTTAGTCAGATTCAATTTTGTTCAAAAGTGAAAAATGTTTGTTTTGACAAAATTGTTGTTTTATACACCTCACACATAAGATACGTTGTTCATCTTTTCAAACCCTTCACAATTTCAGAGCAGTTTTTCATTCCTAACATATCATATGATCAGTTAAGAGCAAAAAACCCACAAACATTTTTGAACTATAGATCCAATAATTGTTGACCAATGAGATACAACTACTTCAAACTATTTGTTTATCTCTCATTTGCTGCAACAATTCATATAAAAAAATAAAGGTTCTGCTATCCATTCTAAATTGGCAGTTTGCAAAGTTGTGGCCCGCTCAGACGTGCTCTAATAAAAAACTAAACCCTTCATTAGTGGGACTTGGTCCCTAATGTATCTGTCGTCATACTATACATAAATACAAAAAAATAAAAAATTATATATTTTTTCGGAGTTTGTTTAAATAATTTTGTTGGAAGCTTATAAGTTGTCTTGCCATGGGCTGCGCACATGTTCTTAACTCTATGACACACGAGTACTTCATTGTCTGACACGTGTTGAATATTCTGCATTGTGTGTGTGTGTGTGTGTGTGTGTGTGTGTGTGTGTGTGTGTGTGTGTGTGTGTGTGTGTGTGTGTGTGTGTGTGTAAAAGAGGAAAAAAAGCATCACACTATGCCATTTTGTGGTTCAAATATAAAATAGCACATGTTGATTGTCATTGTACTTAGTGCAAAAACAAACTCAGTTAATTGGGGGGAGAGGGCATCTCACTATGCCATTGTGTGGTACAAATACAAAATAACACATGTTGATTACCATGGTACTTATTATAATTGAAAAGAGAGAGAGAGAGAGAGAGAGAGAGAGAGAGAGAGAAAAAAAAAAAAAAAAAAAAAGAGTAAAAAAAATGTGGAACCACTCGTAGCACGAGGAAGATATAAACGAGTTCTTATGCCGCTCACATTTTTTTTCCCATCAAGGAGTTTTGTTTCATTTTTTTGTAATATTTTACACATTTTTTTCACAAAGATCAACACTTAATCTTTTACCCTTATGTCAATTACATGGAGAACCCAATTGTTGAAGTAGGCACAACACTCTCATTTTGCAAACCTGAGACGCCATAGATGAAATGACGTGTGGGTCTGTGTCATGCACCTTTTCGTTTATTAAAGGGGATAGCACACCTAAAATATCATGATGCATCCGCACTGGTCCTCTGCGCAACAATCACTTTATGGCCCCCTGCAAACCCCTCCCTTAAAATGCACACCCTTCGGAGAACAAGTAGACTCAATGATTTAAAAAAAAAAAATTCAGATCATACGATAAAGGCATTTTTTTCTCGCAGTGTATAAGGCATCCCTTACGAGTTGCAATTACGCTTAGGCTGGCTTAGCCACAATTGCTCAGTGGCTAAGGTTCAATTATTTATCATGGGGTTATGAGGAATGTAGCCCCCAAAACCTTTTTTTTTTTTTTTTTTTTTTAAACCACCACTACCTTTATGAGTGTTAGGAAAAACAGGAAAACATCGTACAACAAAAAATCTGGAGGTCCCACAAAGGGTTAACAAGAAAGAAGGAAAAAAAAAAACATTAGGACCCTGTTGGTTCGTAATGAGAGGAAAAAAAAGTTACCAACTTTGAATCCATCGAAGGCACAGGAGG